TTAGGTAGTCTTTCTGGTTGTTAGCAATTATCTGGCTCCCTTTGGAGCATCATCGGGAAACTTAAGTCTTGTCGGAACAAGAAGAAAATAGATGCTGTTATCAGTTCATTAGGTTTCTAAACTCCTTCTTGAGTGATACATGTGACACAAATGTGGCAAGCAGCTGTTCTTTCATCACTCTCATCATCAATAAAAATAAACATGTGTTTTAATGCCAACTAGGGATTCTGTGCTAGGATCTGGGGACGTAAAGATGTATAAGCTCTCAGGGAACTCATAACCCTTTAGTTGAGTAGCACTTACAGCATTAAATGAAGTAACTTTGAATGGTGATATAGCAAACAAAAAAGTACTATACATACAACTCTATACCAACACTAATATAGCTTATTTTACACAAAAGAAAAAAAAAAGCAATGAAAGCAATTTTAAAGGTCCAAATTCAATCTAGAGAATAAATTTCAAATTTATAGCCAAATGAAGATGAAGGTTTTCATTAGCTTTCAAGAATAATGCAACACAGCAGTGTGTGGCAGCTCACGCCTATAATCCTAGTACTTTGGGAGGCTACTTTGGGAGGATTGCTTGAGGCCAGGAGTTCAAGACCAGCCTCGGCAAGAGTGAGACCCTATCTCTACAAAAAATAGAAAAATTAGCTGGTCATGGTGGTGCATGCCTATATTCCCAGCTACTTGGGAGGCCGAGGCAGTAGGATCACTTGATCCCAGGCATTTGAGATTGCAATGCACTATGATCATACCACTGCCCTCTAGCCCTGGAGACAGAGCAAGACCCTGTCTGAAAATAATAATAATGATAAAAATTCAACACAAAAATATTTAATATTCTATATCATGAAACTATTTTATGTAAATCATTCTAACACTGAATAATGGTAAAAAAAATTATATAGATATAACACTATGACTTTATTAGCTCTTGGTTTTCAGGCCTTCTCCTACTTTTTGTTATTGAATCATTCACAGCTTTTATTGATCTAATTGCCTTCTCCTAAATGTACTAAAATTTGGACAGTTTCTTGGCTGAGTAATTATTCTGATTCTTTTAGGCAAATACAGTTTCTATAAAGTAATATTAAAGATTAAGTATCGAAGAATAGCCTTCTCAACTACTAAACTGTCAATTTTTTTAATGTGTCACGAACCAGGATAGATAGAGTTAAATAAGTGTGCCATCCTCCTCATTATATAATCCACTCCTCATTATCCCCATTATTTCTCCTGCTGAGGGTGTGGTGTTGTACACACAGCCACATCCATACCCATGTGCTCCAAAGTCCAAGGAGAGATGCCCTTCTTCTCAACATCTGTGTTGCACAAAGCTCTACATCTCTCAACAGAAGGAGTTGAGTCTGCTTTTGCACATAGTGCATAAAGAAGGTGGTCTTTGACCACTTCTCCTCACTCTGTAAAATTAGCAGCGACTGTCCTTCAAGGGGGCTCTTCATGAGATGGAGGGCAGTAGACTTCTATATTGACGTGCAAAGTGCTGATAACCCATTGTTATAAGAAGCACCCTGGCAAGGTCTAAAGCTCCAAGATCTTATAATGTAATTTACCAGCTTGCTATTTTATGTATCTCATTATAATATCCTTCTGATTTTGATATTATAAAGGGTAGGATGCTAGGGACTCTTAAGGCCTTGAAGATAGGGATATACATATACATATCAAAACTCTTATAAATTTTCTGGTGATCACATACTGTCCACTGATAGCAACAACTTTATTTAAGCAAATATATTATTTCTGATAGCAGTGCTTGCTAATTGACCTTCGAAGTTAAGTAAACTAAAAGATCACTCTTTTATGTGTATTTGAGTAATTTTAAATATAGTTAAATGTGAACTCATTCCGGGTAGAAACCTTGGCTTACTAATGTATTTACCTCCTAAGCCTAGGATAGTACCTTGCGCTTAGTATGTATTTGATGAATGGGTGAGTGAATAGATGGATATAGATAAAATAAAATTAATAAGCTTTTTCACTCCTCAGAATAAAACAGATGCATAATTAGATACAGATGAGATTGGCTCAGTTTGTTTTCACCTATTTTAATGTCCATGTGAGCAAGCTGTTTCTTAAGTGACCTAGCACTACAAGATGATAGGACAAAATATTATCATTAACATAAAACATGAGTAAACAATCCCCATGTGTAACTATTTTGTTAGTAACTTGGCATGTTCTGTGTGTTGATTGTTTGTACATGCTGTCAAGAGTTTAAACAACAATTATTCAGCCTGCTATATGGCAGGCTCTGTGTTTATGAAAATTGTGATTTTTGTTTAGTGACTATTTTTGAACTCTGTAAGAACACATCCTTCTTTTTCATCATTGTATCCCTAGCACCTAGCTCAAGGCTTGCCGATATTATATTGGCAATAAATATTTGTTTAACAAACAAATGAAATACAATGAGTAAGGAGATTTTTGCCTTCAGGTAAAAAATAGTCTAGTAGAAGAAGAAATGATAGGTTGTGGAAGGAACTGTAAAAGAGTAGGTGTTATCAGATTCTGGTGCTACAGAATAATTAACTGTTAAAAATATGTAACTTATAGAGTAGCTAAAGCACAGTATTAGAACTGTTAGAGGATCGGTACCTGGCAGATATGCAAGTTGAATGGTGTCTCAGCAAAAAGAGAATAGAAATAACAGTAGGTGAAGAATCCAGAAGTTAGTTGCTTTAGGATAGTTGGAAAGACTGGATCTGTATATTACCCAAATTGTAAAAGAGACTGGTATAGAACTGGAGAACCAGGTAATACTATTGGTCTGAGAAACAAAACTCAGAAGATCCCCAGACAGAGCTATGTGGCATGGATGAGCTGCATCATAAGTGAGAGAATGTGGACCCAAGAGGAAACTGGACCTTGAGAGACTTCCCACTCCACACATGCCATATATTGAAAAATAAATAACTCAGTTATTCATTGATACTCCTTGAAAGAGTTAACATATTTCCCCTGAAGTCACCTAATACTCTATTCCTGTGGTGCCTGATTTATTATAAGACGTGATTTAGACACTTCTAAGTGTAGAAGTTGGTGAAGACGTGAGCGTTAGAGGCCTCACACCCACATTCTAGTTGGTTCTAGGCTTGGCCTTGTCACTACCTAGCCATTTAACCTGGAGAATTTACTTGTCATTTGAGGACCTTGTTTTCTCATCTTATTAACAGAGCATTAGACTCAACTCTAATATAGTGTGCTTTTGCCAATTTTATCATTCTTGTCATCCAGTGCAATCTGAAAAACATTTTAATGAACTTCTCCATTTTAACAAAGTTGACGGGACTTTGGAGTCTGAGGGCAGGAATGAGGTGGTGGTGGGGAATTGGGTGAGATACTGCCCCTTCGTGGGAAATGAGGTTGACGTTTGCTTTTTAGACTCAAACCCATTTGAGGATGTTGACTGGAAGTATCTATAGGTAGAATGAAACTTCAGTTTTTGTTTTGTTTTATTAAAAAGAAGGAAAATGTTCTTGACTTTAATAATTGATTTTGATCTGTCTTAAGTTCCACCAAGAATCTTCGATTCAATCACATCCTTAAATAGTATGTCATTGTGTCTGGATTACTTTGTAATATAAGTAAATTTTCAAGCATTGAGAGGGAAAGAGAAACTCCTTTATTGGAAATTTAAGTTGAATACAGAGAAAACTGATTCTCGCAACTATATTTACCTCAGCCATTTGGACTGCTAAGAAACTTGCTTTTAACTTGGATTGTCTTAATAAAAAATTTGGGAAGCTTAAAATAACAATGTAATTGCCCAACTCTACACTTCATCCTGCGCTATTCAGACCCAGTAAGCATTTCCCTGTCAAGCTCTTGCTGCATGATTGAGGGGGAAACTTTTAATAGTCCCCTTGAAGAATAGTTATTCAACATAGACTAACCATGTATACACACATATAGTTGGGGTATATATCTCACTTGGGGTATATCAGGATAAGTGTAAATCAGAGAATTATTGCCATCTGATATACTGCCCTATGGGGGGCATCTTTTAAAATCCACAAGTCACTGCAGTTCTCTTAGGCCACTCATGTGACAAGACTTGCTCCCACATCAGCAGTTTGGCACAGCTAATGTTTCTCTTTGCCAAAAAGGGCAAAGGCCCTGAGCAAGAAGCTGGCTTTTTCCTGGTTACAAAACTGACCACAATTCCTCACCAGCCTAACAGGGTAAGTCTGTTTTTTTCTGGTAATGCAATTCTTCTCAAAGAGAACTCCATTTTTTCATTATGACATAGCATTTGTCATTTAAACATCAGCTGATGTTCAAACATCAACTGATGCCACATAGCTGCATTTGCTATTGATTGATAAACTGAAGTTAGGCTCTATCTTTATTCTCTCAACTGTTTAATTTTATAGAATCTGGATAGCAGTCAGTATCATTTGGGACCTCATAAAGTAGTAGAATACTACCTGAGGAATATGACATTTTGATAGCATGCTGATATAAAATTTAAAATATGGATATGTATTTGAATTCCCAAGTTTTCTTCAGATGATTTAATTAGAGATTCAACCAAGGATGGATACCCAAGGATAATTTTTTCTACATAAACTTATCAGGTATTTCATAACCCAGAGATTTAAAGTTTTCCACTTAAGAAACAATTGGTATGTATTTTACCGCAATAAAAAAAGCAAGTGAATATTGAACAGGCTTTACCCTGATAATTCTAAGTACTGTACAGTTCACATCCTCACAGGACACTGAACATGTGGGTCACTGGCGAGACAGTGTGGCAATATTTTCCTTGTAATGTACCAAGTCTTGCCAAAGCAGTGAACAACATTATGACACAACATTTTGTCACAGCTGGCTCCCAAGGGGACAGTGCCAGCCAATTCAGCCCTAGTCCTTTCTGTGTTTATTACCACCTTTCCCAAATATTTGGAAACTAATGTCTTGACTCATTGGTGTATTCACAAGTTCTATTACCTCAAGTTTTTTTCTTTTAAGGGATTGATGTTTTGCAAGATATAGACAAAATGTCAGTGTGAATTACAGCAAATCCCTATTCCATGCTGTTATGGGTGAAACTCTGGGAGATTCTCCTATTGACCCAGAGAGTGATTCCTTCACTGATATACTGTCTGCAAGCACGTCACAAGGTAAAGTCTATTCCAGGTACAACTACTGGGGATTTGGGGCATTTATGTAAGGGTAAAATTGCTCTTATGATTTGTTTTCCAAGTGATACTTGTTTTAATACTATCATGTGTATACTCCAGTGTTTTAATGCTTAGTTCACTGTTATAGTGTTTGCTTAAAAACATGTTCAGAGCATTAAAAAAAGAAAACTAACCTAATCCCTATTTTATCTCTGTGCTTGGCTCCCATTTCCTGAATTTTAAGCATTAAGGTATATTTATATCCAAAAACAATCCTATTCATTTTTATTTCCTGAGTTTGCATATGTTTCCCAAAAATATGTAAAGGCTTTTTAGAATACTGGAAGGGTACTTTTTCACCTTTTCATCTTGTGTATTAGATATCTCTCATAGCAGTTTTATTCCTCTTGAAATAGTCTCAGCACTTTTCTGTTCTACTTGGAAATCTAGATATTTGTATGTGCGTTTTAACTCTCACAAAGAATTATAAACTCCCAGAGTATAGGACCAGGTTATATTCTGTTTTAGATTTCTTAGGATACCTCCTAGAATAGCACCTAATGCATTATAGAAGAATAGATTGTTAGGACCTTGAAAAATATCTATTCTAGGCATCTCGTTTTGCACATAAAGAAAATGAGGTCCCTAAAAGTATAAATGCCTATTGCGTGTTAAATAAATGATTGACTGTTACTTCTATTCGGATAAATCAGTTTCAAACATTTACTGCATTTTCAACATTTCTTTCTTGCATTGTAAAATATAAGTTCTTCATTTCTATAGCTCCTTCTACTGGAGTTTCTTAGCACAGCTTCTTCTGTTTTATATTGTTTCATATTTACTTTTATATTTTTATTTGTTTTATTTTTCTTTTCTCATACACTCCATGTAAAAATAGATTGTGTTAAACAGTGTGATTCATATTTTAAAATATAAGTGCTAAAGCATTAAAATTAAGTCACTTAATTGCTTTGCATTTTAACCTTTTAATATTCCCAGAAACCTGAAATTTGAATATATTAGTCACAATTTTTAAAACATCAAGCTTTTTAGAAATGAAAAAGAAAATGTTTTCTGATACTGTTTTATTTTATTACGATCATTTGACTCAATGCATATTTCTATCATCTGAGCTTCTTAAATATAAGCCTAGTTTTATTATGTTCTATAAAATCGCTCTTATTCTGTTTTTCTGTAAGCCATAAAAATTATTGCTGTCTTTCTTTAGTTATCAATTCAGCCTGCCTCAGGGCAGAATGTCCTGGTTATAGTGTGAAATAGTTCTTAAGTCAAAATTTGATAGTTTTGTCTGTTTGAAAAGAATATGTCTAGAATGCAGTACAACAAATATTTTAGATTAACCAGGGGGCAAGTACTGTTAATGGTAAGGGATGGTTATGTGATTCAAGTAAGTTTTCATTCTGTGCTAATCTCAATTTATATGCTTTGAATTTGGACTGAGTTTAATTTTTTTGAGTCTCAAATTCCTCCAAAAGGATGATCCAGTACTTTTCTTCTTATTTAATACAGTACAGAATAGAATTATTATATTAGCAGTTAAAACATTGTATTTTTTTACCAGCAATTTAGCCCTTGTCTTGTATGGTCTCTGGCTACTTCTTATTCATGTTGTTTTTCTGTTAATAATGTGAGTTCCTAAAAGGCCAAAGACCTATGATTATTATTTCTATTGTATTTTGTAGATGACCATTAAATACTTACTCTTCCCCTGCCAAAACAAATAGACAAACCTGAAAATAAATTAGGTATATGATCACCGTTAGCTATCTGAGGCCAGCAGACGTAAAACACTATGCAGATTAGGTATTTGGCCTAGGAACAGTAGTCAGTTAAGTGCCCCTTTTTCCTCATCATAGGCAAAATGGAATTGGGGTTGCTGCAAGTATCTGGGTGCTGCTATTGAAGAAAAAGTGGCACGTTTAGCATTAATGACCCAAATGTCATATTCATTAGATTAATAAAATCTCCATTATGCTTAACCACTATGCCCAAAGAGGACTTTCACCCTTTTTCCTAGGCTCCATTATTACTGTGACCCCTTTATATTATTCTCTTTTCTTTTTTCATTAAGAGCTCCTCAAGCAACCCCAAGTAACCTCATGCTGGCTCTGAAACCATTTCCACTAGTAAAATTTGGCAAGACTGAAGGGAAGCTTATACAAACTCAGGCTGAATATGCCTCCTGCTTTTAGTGCCAGATTTAGTCCTGTGTGAATTTTATAATTCTAAGTTGTTGCACCAGAGCATTGAAAGATGATGACACATTTGTCCTTTGGAGCTGATTGAGCAATGGAAATATGCCTTAGAGACATGATAAATGCTGCAATAGACAATCCCTTGAAACTAGAATCTCTCCTGAGATAGGAGTGAGTGAGTGAGTGAGTGCATGCCGTTTTTATTGAGGGATCCTTAAACTGTGTCTACATGACTCTAGGCAACTATATACCCAGAAACATTTACATAATTGACCAAAGTTTGTACCTTTCCAGAAGTTTAAAGGGACCCATGTAGCACCAGGGAATATAAGAAACAGTCCTATCTTTTCCACATATTCCCCAAGTTTTCTCTCTGATCCTCTGTTTCCACATATATTAACAGAAAATAGAGGATTAATGTGAGGGTTAAATGACACAATATTTGTGAAAGCAAATCTAAAGCCCTATACGGAGTTCATTGTTTTAGCCAGTGGTGGATAGAATAGAAGGTTCTGATATAATATCCTAAATTTGAAGCACTTTATAGAATATGGAAAAACAAAAGCTGCAGAATTCTTTATGGGACTAAAATAAGTGGCAGTAACATAAATGAAATGAGGCTTCTACATAATCTGCCATGAGGCTTTTGAGAAGGAAATGATCAAACTTAGAGGAAGCATCTTTGTACCTGATTTTTTTAAATGGAGAAACTACCACACTTTTATTAATATTTGTCTATGATGAAATTGAATTTCCAAAAGTTGAAATCATTTTTGGGGCCTAAGTGAGAGTGATGATTACATGTTTTCTTATCAGAGACATTGAAAAGCCATCTTAGATTATAGTGTTCTCTATAAGATGAAGTGAAAGTCCAGAACAGATTTGAGTTACTGACACAGCTCTGAATTTCATAATCTCATGTGTAATATCAATTCAGGCCCTTTTTATTGTGTTTTACTATTGTCCATATTAATTTTTTTCCTTAGTATGGCTATGGTTTTATCATTTATTTTTTATTTAACTCTAACCTTTCTTGATCACCAGGATGTAGTAGATTTGGTAGATTTCTGGACTCTGTAAAAGTCTGTACTTTTTTACCCAAAAACTGTTGTTTGTCTTGTACTTCCTTCCATGTTATAAATTATAGGTAACACCCCAAATAAATGTCGTTTATAGTAGACGCTCACAAGGAAACACAGGTTTTTAAGCCCCTTTTTCACCTGGCATCCCTGATGAATGCACCTTGGCTTGAAATCTACCTAACAGCAATTATCCTTTTAAACTGCTAGTTGCAATGTAAAACATGGGTCATTAAATGAAAAACAAGTTTTATACCTCTGATAGAGGTTGTCATAGGTTACTGTTTCTGTCAGCATTCTCACTTAGAACTTTATTAGGATGACTCTGGGGAAATTCTAAAATCATTATAGCTCTTTGTTAGGTGCATATTCTTTGAGTCAGAGGAAATCTGAACAAAGTAAATTTCTTCATTTTCTTAACAGAATTGACATAGAGCTTCTGTTATGTTAGCTTCCTTTGGACACACTTAAAATAGGCACTAGAGGCTGTCCAGTAAATGTCTCACGTCCCTCTACTGGTGCTGAATATTTGTGAAAATATGGATGATAATGAATTGGACTCATTTGAATGGAACTAAGTTTCTATAAACTACCAGGTTTTGTTTGTAAATGTGGTTTTGCACCTATAACTAATTTAGAGACAAAGAAATTGCACATGGAACTGATAGCAACTGCAGTCCAACTCTTATAACCCCCAAATTAAGATCACATAGCTATTTGAGTACACAGTGTTTTAGACCCATGTAATTTTTATTTGAGCAAAGGATTGCCAACAGGAGATCGAGGTTCCCACAAATAGTGAATGGCACTTATGGCTAACACTATAAAGCAGATTTAAAACAGTCAACTGTCAGTTACCTACAGGCGAATTATCCCTCATTACCTCGCGACAGGTTTCTGAATGGCCTTCTAGCTGACCGTCTAAATGAGAAACTCTGCCATCCAATGCAAACTGCCAGATAAACAGTCCTAAAAAGCCTGTCTTTATTATCAGCTCTCTGCTATTTATTGAGTGCCCACTGTTTATACTAGGCCTCGTAGTGAACACTGTGAAGTCTAGACACCTTTCCCTGGCTTTTTCCAGCTCTTTATAATCTGGTTCTTATTTATGTATTTTACCTTATTTCCTGCATCCCAGCATTGGCCTGCCCTGATTTATTCAAACTAATCTCTTTGTCCCAAGAATAAGCCATACTTACTCTTGCCTCCAAGCCTGTGAAGTCCTGGAATGCCTTTCCTAATTCTTCCACCTTTTTAAATCCTCTCTATCATTCAAGGTCAGGTTGAATGAAGCAGCTTCACTGTACGATGCATTGTCTGAGCACAGTGCTGTTAATGTCTCTCCTTCTGCTCTAAACCGAAAATGTGTTCAGAATCTCTCTCTTTTTCCTTTTCCACTGCTGCCCACCTGGTCCAAGGCACCATCTTTGCCTGGATACTAGTTTCTCGACAGGTTTCTCAGCTTCCGTCCTTTCCTTCCAACAGCCTAGTAGTCTTAACCATTCATCCAGAGGGATCATGTCCAAACGTAAGCCAGATGTGTCACTCCACCCACAACCCTGCAGCGCCTCCCTGTGCCACTGGTAACAAAGCCCGAATCTGCCCTGCACCCTCCTGCCCCACCCCAGCCGACCTGTCTGATTCCCTCTCCTCTCCTTCTGTCTCCTCCACTCACTCTGCTCCAGCCTCGCTGGCCTCCTTGCTG